GCACAAATCGATGTGAAAGAACAATGACTTTAAAATTGATTTTAAAATAATTTTACTTTAGGAAGGTTTGAAAACCTCCTAATTTAAATTTTTTTTTCATTATTTTGATTTTAAATTATGTGGCGTGTCACGTCATCTTCTGTTAGAGTTCTGTAAAAAACTTGAAGGGTTGTATCAAGAAAAAAGTGTACAAATCATTTATTGTTGAAAGAGTTGTTTCATAGCTCGCGTATGGATGAGCATACAAAATTATTTGATCATCTAAGCGTTCTAAATGATATTGTTTATGAATTAGAAACTATTGGAGTCAAGATTGATGGTGAAGATAAAGATTTGAGACTCATACAGTCTCTTCCATCTTCCTATGAGCATATTAAACATATTTTGATATATGAGAACGAAACCTTAAGTTTGAAAGAAGTTGTTAGTAAGATTATTTCCGATGAAGGAAGATTGAAGGGTAAAGATAATACTTCATCAAACTCGGTGTTGGTTACTAGAGGGAGGTTGTATGTCAAGAAAAATAATGAAATGTGTGTGAGATGTTGGAAATGTGGAAAGATTGGTCATATAAATTTAAGTGTCTTGATGGGTTAGCGTTATAGAAAGGCACCGAGTCAAATTCTTGCAATGTCTTCTTCGATGTGGAGGTGTTGATCTTCTCTGAAAATTGAAAAATGCGTCTTCATGACATTTCCGCTGTCGTGAAAAAGAAAGAGTTATTTCTAGCAGATTAACACATAGACATTAATGCAATGCGTGTGAGATTATGTCGATGGATGAAAAGCTTCCTACCAACATGGAAGTTGCACCATAAATTTTCAACATGTGAAATTTTTTGAAGTGGTTTACCTTCAAGTGACGTATACTCTTCTTTAAGTGAAGTATGGTCATTTTTAAAACTATGATTGTCAGTGAATATAATGTGAAAATTTTCGGAGCGGTGTAGCTTCAAGTAACTATACTCTGTATGGTGGAGTATAATTATCGATGTAGACAATGAAAGTTAATGTATTATTTTAATCAATATAGAGATTGTTGGGGTTGGTTGAAAATATACCTGTTGAAGAAATTTAACATCGCTAAGTTTTAGGAAGAAAGAGGGAGACCAAGACTATATATATGATTCAAGTTCTTCGAAGACCTACATTGTTTAATTTTGTGAAGGAAGAGGGGGTCCAAAACTATATATATGTTTCAAGTTCTTTGTTACAAGATGTACCTGATGAAAGAATTTTAAATTTGTATTTGACTTTTTATATTTTCTCCTATACTCTTGTGTTAGAGTCTTGTGTGAGGTAATTAAATATTTGTTTTGAAGAGTACCGGTGTTTTGGAGTCTTGAGATAGTTGAGGATAATCTATATATTATAACAATTTTTAAATAGTATTATTCTCTAATTGTCATCTTAACACTAATTTTAATTTTTAAAATGTCGACATTAAACCTTTATATTGTTATTGTGTTTCATTTTCTTCTCTATAATTTATTTTTTTCCGCTCGAAATCACTTATACAATTTCAACTAACTAAATATTAATTAGATATATTCCTTACCAATATATTTAAATACACAATGCCCAGTTGAATTCAAATTTATCTTGGATACAGTGTTCTCAATGTGAAATGTGAAACAAATTATTGAAGTAGCTAATTGACTGGTATAAACTGTTCCCATTTTCTATCATCCGTATCACAATGTAAACGGAAATGAAAATAAAATATTGTATTTTGGGTAATCAATATAAAGTAGACTTACCGATACAAATGAAAAAGTCAACAAAAATTGAAAGAGAGAAAATACTTATTGGTATGATTTCATTCTTCCGATTAGTAATTAAAACAAAATATTTTTAAACTATCAAATTAAATTTAAATATGTTTATTTAGACTGTCCGATCATAATTGAATGACCACGAATATCTTAACTATGTAATTTCATGATAAACGAATTGCATGGATTTTTTTTTTTTGTTGAGTTAGTGGAATATCTTACGCTTAAAACCAAAGCAATGTAGTTTGATGAGGTAGTGTAATCTGACAATGACATACCACGTGTGGACTCTGTCACCTTCCTCATGCCACTTGTCAATGGACACAAATATTGATACTTGTATATTGAAATTTGCAGTCAAAATAAATGAATTACATTCATCCATTACAATTTTGAACTAATGCAAGATAAATTTATTTTATATGCTGTAAAATATATTTTGATATATATAAGTTTGAAATGAGTAATTTAATTATAAATAAAAATAATTATATTAACTTAATTATATTAGATAATTATATTTAAAAAAAAGAATTTCTGAGATGAAGAAAAAAAATAAAATTTTAACATTTAAAAATAAAAATTATTTTTCAAATAAAAATTATTTTTATTAAAATAAAATAAATATTGTGTTGATAATAATCCGTAGAATAAAAAATATTATTTGATGTGATATAAACTATATTTAAGTATAAATACAAAATTTGAAATGATTTATTTAGAATAATAATTATATAAATTTAATTGTATTAAATAATCATATAAAAAGAAGAAGAAGAAAAACCGTACAATAGAAAAAGAAAAAAATTAATATTTTCAAAAAAGTGTTTTTAAGAAAAAAATTAATATTTTCAAAAAAGTGTTTTTAAGAAAAAAATTAATATTTTCAAAAAAGTGTTTTTTAAATTAAGGCAAATGATTGATTAAAATGAAATAAATATTGTGTTGATAATCTGTGAGATAAATAAATTTTTTGTTTTAGTAAAATAAAAAAATTAATTATTAATATTTTTAGAGATAATAAATAAATATGGAGAAAAAATTAAAATAAAAGCGAGAAAGTATGAAAAAAAAGAAAGAAATTTAAAATTTTAATTAAGAGAGAATGAGTGTATGTAATATTTAATTAATGAAAGTTAAAAAATAAATGTCACATGTCATACTGTAATAAGATATGAGAATGAAAAAATTAAATATTATTTAATTATTTAAATATTCTTTTCTTAATATAAAAAATTTGTGGTGAAAAAATAATTTATAAAAATTCTGTAATTTATTTTTAATAAATAAATAATCGATAATAAACTATGTTTTTGTCTGATAACTTAATTGTGCAAATTCAAAAAAACAAATTACAATACAATGATTATTATTAGTTTTCATTATTATATTCTTATTTATTAATTATAATTATTTTAATAATTATAATTTTCTTTAATAAATCAAAATATATTAATTCAAAAATTGCTAATTATAAACTTGGCAATCAGAACAAAAGACAAAATCAAAAACAAACTATAACACCAATTTAGTCATGTTACCTTTAAGTTTATTACTACATCAATCTGAACCTATAATTGTATTATCAATATTCTTATCAAAGTATTTGGTATTTTTATACTTCCACAACCCGTATATCGTCTTAGTTGCAGCAAAATGAAGAACACTGCTTTCTAACCCTTATCGATGCCATGTTGCATAGTCCAAATCAGTTCATGATGCCACGCTTTTGAGAGATGCTGAAATTTGATCAAATTTAGAACCTCCCTCCATCTTTGTAATAGCACAATAAAAAAAAGTCTAATATTTCCTAAGTTTTCACAAAAACATCATGTATTACTCTCTATCAAACTATACCTCAATTAATCGATCATTTGTCACAAGTCTTTGGTTACAAGCTAGCCAAAGAGTTATAATGACTCTTGGTCTAACTGCATTGCAATACATAAGAGCTCTCCATGACATCACCACTGAATCATCACTTCTCAATTCGTGATATATACTTTTCATATGAAATTTCTTTTTCACCAACATATCACCTCACTTACTTTGAACATGTGTACTCTTTTTTTTTTTAAATGACTTTCATTATTCAAGAGTTATCCATCTTTATATTCATCTCTATCACATTTAATAATTATAGTTAATAAAAATATTTTAATAAATAATATTAATTATATTATTAAAGTTAACATATTTAATAATTTTTTAAAAAACTAACGGACAATTCAAAATATTAATTATATTATTAAAATTAATATACTTAATAATTTTTTTTAAAACTAACGGATAACTCAAATAAGATTTGTGTAAAAAAAACTCAAATAAAACACTTATAATAACACGAAGGGAGTACATTATTTCTTATAGGTAAAAATAAATGAGTTGTTTCATATGAAAAGTAAAAAAAATATTTTTACAATGTTAATGAATTTTGTCCATATGAAAAAAATATATTTCGACAATCGTCATGTCTTTATATCATTTATCTTTTATATTTTTAGTTTTTTAACATAAAAAATAATTAATTTTAGAGAGAGTTTAAAGACTCGTGAATAATGATATTTATCTCTTAAATCTATAAATATACTTTTTAAGATAATTTATTTTACTATCTAAATATGAATAACAGTGTAATTTATTGTCTGTTTGTCTTTATCACATACTAAATAATATATAGGAATTAAAACTAGAAAAAAAAATCATTATAAACTTGTTACATTTATACTAATAGTTGGTCGTTGGTTGTGATGTTCAAGTGTACTTGTGATGTTCTGTAAGTCTAAAGTATTTTGACAATGCATAAAAATTAAATCCGTGTCAAAATTGCAAACGGATCATTAAAATGGCCGGAGATAATATTCATTAATTCATTAATCTTAATGAAGAAAATATAAATAAATTAATAAAAATCCCAAAATTGTATGCTAAAATAAATAGCAAAAAAGAAAAGACAAAAAAAAAGTTAAATTGAGATAGTGGGCTTCAAAGACTTTTAGGAGCCAAAGGGAATAGAAATTTCATATATAAATAAGTAGGTGGTATAGCTCTATCTTAACTTGTTATGCTCATAATCTTGTGAACTCTCAAGTTTTTTCATCTTTCTCTCTCTATCTTTTTCTATCTCTTTCTCTCTCAATATCAATTTGATTCCTCCATTTTTAAGGTATCATTTCAAAGGTTAGACTTTATAGGCATTTCCAACATTTGGTAAAACAAAAAAAAAATGGGAAGACAACCTTGTTGTGACAAAGTTGGTTTGAAAAAAGGTCCATGGACAGCAGAAGAAGATAAAAAACTCATCAGTTTCATCCTCACTAATGGCCAATGTTGCTGGAGAGCTGTCCCTAAGTTAGCAGGTCTCCCCTTATTACTTATACGATTTTCACCATCAAAATCGTAGTTTTAAATTGCAGTTGCAGTCGAATCACATCAGCCAGTCACAAATGACTTTATGACTAATGTGATCAAAATATTAAACATAATTGAATATTTCTTTAGTATGTGACTTTTGAGTTTCAAGTTCATTTACATTTTTAAATTTTTTTTCAATATTTTTTACCTTAGCTAAAAATTGTTATGAAATAAATGCAGGGTTGTTAAGGTGTGGAAAAAGTTGCAGACTCAGATGGACAAATTACTTAAGGCCTGACCTAAAGAGAGGACTTTTATCAGAATATGAGGAGAAAATGGTCATTGATCTTCATGCTCAACTTGGAAACAGGTTCTTTCACTCTTTCAATTACTCTGTTTCAGTTTTTTTTTTTTTTTTTCTGTTTGCATGCTTTGTAACTAAATCTAAAAACCTTAATTAACTTATTAACTAAACGACAACACAGTGATATTTTAAAATATTTGACTAGGTTTATCTAAGATAATCATTTAAATGTTTTTTAATCATGCGAAATACAATAACTTAATGAAATTTAATCATTTCTATAATACACGCTCTTCATCTTGCACTTTGTTTATTCATCACAAAAAGAAGATACGGTCCCATAACATATAAAATAATTAAAATACTTATAAAAAATTGTAGACCAAGTATATTTTTTCTTTTATGGTTTTTTTATTGTTTTTTTTTAAAGTAAAAGAAAGAAAATTATCATGATTGCTGTTTTATAAAGTTGACTCCAAATGGGAAACGTAATGTTGAATAAGTAATGTTAGCCATGTTTGTCTTATAGTTTAATTTTCTTATTTCTTAATTTCAATGACATTTGAAAAAGATAACTTTCTTAATGACCACGAACTCATCATTTAATATTTTTTTTTTATAAAAATAGAATCAATTTATTGTTGATTATCAACTAATAGAATTCAATACTTCAATATTATAACTCTTAAATGTGTCAGTGTTGGGTATGACATCTCTTTAAAAAGATCCTAAATTATTATTAATGTGAATATAATTGAGGATTAAATAAATTTTTTGATTCTTCTAAATATATCGGTTTTTAATTTTAATCTCGTTAAATACTTTTTTGAAAAAATATTTTTTTTTTAAATTTTAATTTTAATTTTATGTTCCTTCTACATTTTAACGATGATTTTTTTATAATTTAACGATAATTTTTTATTTAACGATAAAATTAAAGACTATTTTAGTTACCGTTTTACTATAAGAGATCAATAGTTAAAATTAAAATTTTTAAGAACCTTAAAAATCATTATATTTAGAAGGACAAAAAAAGATATTTAATTCTATAATTAATATATATGTGTTTTTGTTATGCAGATGGTCAAAAATTGCTTCTCATTTACCCGGAAGAACTGATAATGAGATTAAGAATCATTGGAACACACACATTAAGAAAAAGCTTAAGAAAATGGGAATTGATCCTGTAACACATAGGATATTATTCACTAATGAAATAGAACAACCTCAAACAAAACCAGAACAACAACCTCAACAAAATCAAAAAGAATCTTCCCCTATTGAAGAACAAGACACAAAGGTTGAATATGAGAATGACAAAAACAAAGAACCACAAAATCCAGAAACTTCATTTGATTCATCAACCATAACTGAAGAACATGACCAAATTATGACACCACTCTTTGACTCATTGGAACTAATGAATGAGTTCTTAATTGAAGAAGTTCCAATAGTAAAACCAGATGAAATTCTAGCTCCATGTGTTTGTTCATCTTCATCAACAACAACTATAACTACAACAGCATCGTCATCTTCTTCAAATTCATCTAACTTTCTTGAAGATTTACTACTATCTGACTTTGATTGGTCACAAGATAATAATAACATTGAAAATAGTGATAATAATAATAATAATATTAATATTAATATGGCATTATGGGATGATGACTTTATTAGAAATTGGGATTTTGTGATTAATGATGATGATATTGGTGACAGAAAGCAAGTATTTGATGCTCCTCAAAATCAGTATCCAAGAGTGGTCATGGATTCAGAATCATGGGCTTATGGATTGTTTTGATTTTAATATTATTTTTAACAATGATCATAGCATTTACTTGTAATGTTCTTGTAGGTTTTGTTTCAAAGAATAAAGAGTGAATTAGGATTCATAGAAAATAGAAACTTTTGTGGTGTGTTTGGAACAGTTATAATGTTTATCCATTTTTATTTTCCAACCTTTATATCTTATGATAAAAGTTCAAAAAAATAATTATCTATAAGTAAACATGTCGATTTGTTGTTTCTTATAATCATAGCATACTTGAATTTTTATGTTACTAAAATTATGTTTATCTTTTTTTCTTTCTCTTTGTCATAAATTATTTTTTCTTGACTTGCAAATTTAAAGAGAGAAATTTGAATATAGTAATAAAAATAAGTTAATTTTCATGTAATTTAGTATTGTAGTGGCAATCTTATTATTGTAATGATACTGCATTCGATGAAGGGTGTTTAACAACCTTTATCAAAATCTTATTTGTCTATGATTTCTTTCTCTTGCTTTTTTTCTTTATAAGCAAGAATTAATTAGATCAGAGTATAAGGGTATTCTAATTCGATATAACAATTTAAAAAAATCAGAATGAAGAACTTACAAACTAATCGCAATTTTTAATGAAGTTACACAAATATTATAAAAGTCACCGTTGAAATTAGTAATTTCTTCTATGATACACCATTTTCAAGACTTAAGTTTGGTTGACCACACTAGATCTCTAATCACTTACATGACAAAATTCATATTTAAACAAAATCTCATTCCTAAGTTTTCAAATACACCAAGTTGTAGCCAACTAAATAACTCCTTAAATTTTGCGTGCTTCACCATTATCTGTACATTTTTGTTGGTCACGACCACTATTTCTTACTTCAGTCGGTAACAATCGAAGGGGAGGTAGATCTGTTACTTTTTCTCCTTTTCTAAAAGCATTCTTATTTCTTCTAAATTCATGGTTTGTAGGTAAGAATCTACGCTAACAATCAAACCACGAACTTTTCCAACTCTTATCCAAAGTAAACGCTTTTGTGTGATCTATACAATGCAGACATCCCATTTTTCCATGCGTACCCCATACACACAACATATTATATGCAAGAAAATGGTTAGTTGTCCATATCAAAGCAGCTCACATATTAAAATTTTATTTGCGAGACACATCATAAGTCCACTCTCTCACCAACAACCTCTTGAGATCGTCAATTAAAGGTTGCAAATAAACATCTATTCCTGCCTTTGGACTCGACGGTCCCGGAATGATGCAATGTCAAAAACATGTAAGGTTTTGTCATACACATCTCAGAGGGAGATTGTATAGAACATTTCAAAGTAATAATTCTGATGATTTTATTCATTGATCAAGGTACTATATATACATAAAAGAGTCCCTATAATTCCTCTTCTATTAAGGGAATGAAATAAATTATTTACAGCACAAATATTTTCCTACTTACAGCACAAATATTTTCCTACTTAATTTAGCTAAAATATCTTTGACTTATCTTAACATCCCCACTCAAGTTGGTGCATGGATATCACACATTTCCAACTTGAACAAAGACTCATTAAACACCTTACTTGCCACTCCTTTAGTGAGAACATCTACTAACTGAAACTCAGATCTTACAAAAGGAAAAGAAATTATTCCAGCTTCAAGTTTCTCTTTGATAAAATGTCTATCGATTTCTACATGTTTCGTTCTATCATGTTGCACAGGATTGTGCGCAATGGCAATTGCTGAAGTATTGTCACAATACAAAGTCATAGTCTCCCTTGGTTCAAAATCCAAATCTGATAGAACATTTCGTATCCATAAAAGTTTACAAACTCCTAGTGCCATACCTCTAAACTTAGCTTCAGCACTAGACCTTGCTACTACCTGTTGTTTTTTACTCCTCCAAGTTACAAGATTCCCCCTACAAATGTAAAGTAACCAGAGGTAGACCTTCTATCATTTCTTGAACCTGCCCAATCAGCGTCGGTATACCCTTCTACCTTCAAGTTTCCATGATTTGAGAATAAAATTCCTTTTCCAGGAGTGGACTTCAAATATCTCAAGATCCTTTCAACAACATCCATATGAGCTTTCCGTGGATCATGCATAAATTGACTAACGACATTTACTGCATATGTGATATCTGGCCGTGTATGAGACTAGTAAATTAATTTTCCCACCAACCTCTGGTATTTTCCTTTGTCTATGCTGGCTGAATTTTGGCATTGAAATAGCATATGATTTTGTTCAATTGGGGTATCAACGGGTTTACACCCAAGCAGTTCTGTTTCAGATAGTAAATCAAGAGTATACTTTCTCTGGCATAGAAAAATACCATGTTTAGATCTAGCTACTTCAATACCCAAGAAATATTTTAGGTTTCCAAGTTGCTTCATCTCAAATTCAGAAGCGGGGTATTTTTGCAAACTAGACATCTCATCTTGGTCATTCCCTGTAACAATCATATCATCTACATAAATAATCAAAGCTATAATTTTACCTCCTCCTTTCTTCAAAAATAAGGTGTGATCAGAGTTACTTGCTTTATAGCCAAAAGCTTTCATAGACTTAGTAAACCTACCAAACCATGCTCTTGGGGATTGTTTTAATCCATATAGAGCCTTTCTTAACTTGCAAACCTTCATATCATTTGAATCTATCATACCTGGTGGTAGATCCATATAAATTTCTTCTAAAATTTCTCCATGTAGGAAAGCATTTTTCACATCAAATTATAGAAGAGGCCAATCTTGGTTTGCTGCTAGTGACAAAAGTATTCTCACAGTGTTGAGCTTGGCTACCGGCGCAAATGTCTCTTGATAATCTACACTGTAAGATTGAGTGTAACCTTTAGCCACTAGTTGTGCTTTATACCTCTCAATAGTTCCATCAGCTTTGTGTTTAATTGTATAAACCCATCTGCACCCCATAGTTTTCTTCCCTTTTGGTAACATCACAAGATCCCAAGTGTTGTTTTTTTAAAGCCGCCATTTCCATAACCATTGCTTCAGTCCAACTAGGATCTGGTAAAGCTTCCTGCACATTACTATGAATAGAAATTGAGGATAATTGAGATACAAATGATGCATATGACTTAGATAACTTGTGAGATGACACATAATTACTAATGGGATATTTAACTTTGGACTGAAGGTCTGGTTCATATCTAATGGGAGGTTGACCACGGTTAGAACGAGGTGGAAGATTATATTGGACAATAATGGATTTAGTGTTAGTGTGTTGGAGGTCTCATGGAAACTATGGTCAATTTCATGATCAATTTCATGAGAAAAGGAATCAACTTCAGAATGAACATTAGTACCTACTTCAGAATGAACATTAGTATCAACTCCATTGATAATTGTATTATCAGGAATAGAATTAGGAAATACCTCTGGAGAGTTAACTTGATCTTGTGGAGAAGATTGAGCTAGTTGATTATCGTCAGGGGAAATTGTATTATCTAAAGGTGATGTGTCCATGTTTGAGATTGATTCATTACCTGCAGAATGATCCTCACAAGATAATTTATCTTCACAAAATAAGTCAAACATGCTAACATCATGGTGCTGCACTTCACTTTCATCCCCCCCTTGAAGTGTAGAATCAACATAGAAAAAGTTATCTTCATGAAAAGTTACATCCATTTAAATATAAAAAATTTTAGATGATGGGTGATAAGCATGATAACCTTTTTGAGTTGATCCATACCCAACAAAGACACATTTAAGAGCTCGGTTTTCAAGTTTTGTACGTTGATGTGGGTGTAAGTGAACATATATAACACATCCAAAACATGAGGTAGTAAATGAACAATGGAAGGGAGAACATGATGATCAGATAAAACATCTAGAGGTCTTCTAAAGTTATGCACACTAGAGGGAGTTCGATTAATTAAGTAAATTGCTGAATTTACAGCCTCGCCCCACAAATGAGATGGAACATTACCATCAATTAGGACATGGTGTTTGATGCAAAATTCCCTTAGAGTTCAAAAAATATTTTAATTCTTTCTTAAAATATTCCCCTCCATTGTATGATCTAATTACCTTAATACATGTGTTAAATTGTGTTACTATCATTTGATGAAAGGAGCGAAGCACATCATACACATCACTTTTATGTTGTAGAAAATATACCCAGGTTACCCGTGTACAATCATCAACAAAACTAATAAACCATTTTTTCCATTATGTGTAGATTGCGGAGCAGGACCCCAAACATCAGTGTGTACTAAAGAGAAAGGAAAGTCTGTTTTCTTATTACTCAAGGGAAAAATAGCACGATGACTTTTTGCCATAACACGAGTTTCACAAAGAAAATCCAAAATATTGCATTTATGAAATAACGATGGAAACAATTTTTTTAGATAACTAAAAGAGGGATGCCCCAATCGTCTATGCCATAGCCAAATATTTTTTTTTATTTTGATCTTGTATGTGATCACTTGCAAGATGAACCAATGCTCATTTATGGATTTGTGAAACTTTTTCAAGATAATACAGCCCTTCACTATATCTACCACTGCCAATCTTCTCCTTGGTATGTATATCCTGAAAAACACAGTGGGTTGGATAAAACACAACGACACATGAATGTGATTTTGTTAATTTACTAACAGAGATAAGATTGCAATTCAAGGTAGGAACAAATAAGACATTAGGTATTGATAGGGAGGGTGATAGGGTCATTGTACCAACACCTTCAATGGGAGATTCCACTCCATTGGCAGTAATAATAACAATTTTATGACAGTTAGGAGAGAAATTAGTAAACATGTGTTGATCACAAGTCATATGATCAGTAACACCTGTATCAATTATCCAATCGCTATTTCTAATAATAACAGAAGGATTATGAGCAGAGTTAGACATACCTGACTTGGTTACGAAGCCGGCAACAGTAGAAAGATGAGCCTTGTTGTTTTCTGTCTTATTATTCGAAGTAGTTTTTCCCTTTGGATGCCACTCCGAGTAGCCATGAAGCTTAAAACATGTCTCCATGACATGATTATCTCCATTACAGT